GATTTGAGTCTCTATTCGGTTAACTAGGGAGTCATCACTATTGACCCTCATGGTTTAGTGTAAAAGGAAGGGAGAAGGAAACGATGAGGATAGGGGGAAATTTGGAGAACTTAGTGACAGGAAACTGAAGGCACGATTCACTAAAAGTAATCTCCTAGCTTTATTATTTCAACAGATTTGATGAGTATGTGTCATATGTTTAATGAAGTTATAATAATGTTTTATTTATTTGTTCCTTTGTTTATAGTTGGGTGACTTTATGTAAGCAAGGTAATAACAAGTAAGCAAAAGTTTCCCTGTAATCATTTGGGCTACTCATTACTAAAGATCTGTATTAGTCAGGCAGCAGGTATGGATGAATAATATATGGCCTTTGCCCTCGAGGGACCAGAGTCAAGCCAGAGATATTACCTCTTCCTGAGAGAGGAGGCTCTATCAGCTGCGGACAAAAAGGGGCTCTGTAATAAATTTAACCAAAGGTAACCTCATGGTGTCTTAGTCACAATTAATGGAACGATAGGCCTGTTTTAAACTATGCTAAACAGAATTCCCATTTTATTTTCTAAAATTAAGATTAAATAATTTACATGTACTGCTGCTTAAACAAATGTCAATCAGATCATAAATCCCTAACTGGGCAGGTCATGGTGGGTAGTCACGCCTCATGCCTATAATTTTCCTGTAAAAGGTTATCTTTGCCTTAAGGAAGCCCTATCTATTGTTTTTGTACATCTAGGTTAACATACCTTTGAAATGCCTCTTTTTCAGACCCCTCAGAAGCATAACCACTCTCAAGAGAGCATATAATTTCATTAAACATCCTGTAATCTAATCTCTATCTTGCTTTCTCCCACATTCATGTAATCTTCCTTATAGTCCCTCCTTAATTACAAATGTAATTTTAAAAAATTAAAAAACTGTTGCCCTGGGAGCATTTGAGATCTTGCTTCCTGACATGTCATCAGTTTGGCTCAAATAAACTCGTAACAATTCTCCATAGGTTTGGGTGTTTCTTATGTTGATACAGTTTAGGATGTTTTTGGTTGCAAGTAACAGAAATTCATTTCATTCATTCAACAAACATTCATTAAGCAACTTCTAAATCATACCATGAATAATTGACAAATAAATTATATAACAAATTTCTGGCTTAGAGGGTAGGCATCAAGCAACTTCAACAATATTAACCTAACTATAAACTCAGAATTCTTATTTTTCAAACAAGTTTATAATTTTAATTTTTTCTGTGTAATTATGTAAAGATAGTCTTATCACATTTGTCATGAATAATTACCTTAGACATGGAAATAGGCAGAAGAGGTCACCAGATGTCCTTTGAGTATGTACATTTTCTAGTATCCTGAGGATAATCTGCTTTTTCTTTGTAGCACTTAACATATCTTGATTTATTTTATATTGATCTGTTTATTATTTATCCCCCCCCCCCAGTGGAACGTAAACTCCACAGGGAATATAAATCCATCTGTTTTGTTTGCTAATATTTCTAGTACCTAGAATAGTAGACGTTAACTAAACATTATTCAGTGAATAAATTAATTTAAAAATTTTCTCAAAGAATTCTGTTTTCTGTTTTCCTCTTCTGTAAATTCTGCTTGTTTCATCTGATGACTTGCTTATATGGCAGTGCATTTTCTTATGTGTTTAAAAATTTTTTATTGTGAACTCATCTTTAGCAAGGCTTTTCTTTCTTGGGAGTCCTAAATATTCCCTTGATAAAAAAGATGTCCCGAAAGAGCAATTTAATTCCCTGCTGCGAAAGCCTTGCAGATTTCACTTGTTTGAGACCAGTTCTTATGTTAATTTCTGAGCTCAGGATTTCTGCACTGCAAGGGTAAGAGATGTTTGTCCCATCACGAACAGTTCAAGCGTGGAGTCGCAGTTTCTAGGGTATGACTCCTCTTCTACTCTTGTTTCAGTGGAGTCAGATCTTTTAAATGCTGCATCTTTAAGCCAGCAGATGGAATTTTGTTACTCCACTTGTAGATTCCCGACTTTATTCAGTAAGCCCCATTCCAGCTCTGGATTCCTGACTTTATTCAGTGAGCCCCATTCCAGCTCTGGATTCCTGACTTTATTCAGTGAGCCCCCTTCTAGCTCCCTTTGGCCTTGACTTTTAGTCTTATATGGGCACACTAGCCTCTGATGCCTGTATCCGATCTTAAAGTTACCCACTGGGCTCAAATTCTAGCATGATGCTTTCCAGCATGATGATTTCTCACTCTCATTTCCAGCTTAGCTATGTAAATGATAAATATTTTAAATTAGTTATATTTTATCTAACATTTCTCTATATTTGAGTAGAAAGTGGGTCCTTTCCACATTTGTTTAGACTGCCATATTAACCAAAATTGCTCACTATAAAATTACTAAGACCTCAACTACCTCATTCTTTAGTTCTTATTTTTTTATTAATCTTTTGGTAAGTCTGTGTAATTGTTTCGGGAAGAATATATACATGACAGATTTTCTAAGCCATTAATATCTGAAAATTTTTTTCATTTCATACTTGAATGAAAGCTGTACATGTAAAGATTCTTGACTCAAACCTGTGTTTAGAAAATTTTATAGATCTATCACTATTAGCACTGTTGTTTTCTACAAGTTATTAGGGCAGAAGAGAATTCTTAAAGTCAGCCCAGATTTTTTAAAAATTGTTTTAGGTTACCTGTTTTGTTTCATTTTCCTTCCTGGTTGCTTATAGAAATTGTTTTTTTTTTCTTTATAATTCCAGGTTTGTATGTAGATATTTTTATTAATTTATCTAAAACAAGGGTGAGCCTCCCGTTACAACCTCAACCATTATATTCTGGTTTACAATCGTTCTATTCTTATAGCTTAGGTCTTTGTTCTCTGTTCTCTGAAGTATCTTATTTGCTAGTTCTCAGCAGTCTTGGACATTTTTTTCTGCTTTATATTATTGAGTCCATCTTTTGCAGTGTTAGTTCTGTTATTTAATACTTTGCATATTTAAATTCTGTGTCACTATCTTTTTTACATTTCTTTAGTTTTCTTTTCATCTCAGCTTGTATTTTTATCCCACTCTCTTATGTCCTTACTTGTTTTGTTATTTAGTGAACATTGTTTGCATACTCTTGAGGACATCAGGTAATTGATTAGCAATTTTTCTTGCACCCTGTAGTGAGATATTATAGAGATATACAGTACTCTTGTAATCTTTCAGGTAATTCTTTTTTTCTCTTCTGTTACAGTAAAAAATCCTATTTTTAAATAGTGCTTATGTTGTTATTCTGTGAGAACTGTTCAGGATTAGAGTTTGGCAGCAGATACAATATATAAAATGTTCTTTGTCCCATTCTTGTTTTCTTGAGTTCTTGAAGAATGAACTGTCTTCTTAAATCTAAATCTGCTTGTTGACAAGTTGATGTGAATATCCCCAACCCAGTTTCCGGTGTTCTTGTAGTATTTTTGACTGAGGTATGATTTTTTTCTTGCTCATGTGCCAAATTTTCTTTTTATGAGGAAATGTGTATTTTAAGGCATCTGTGACATTTTATAGTTCTATTAAAAGCAGTCCATGAAAAATCACTACTCTCAGCATTCCATTGTTTTATATCCTGACAGGATGGGAAGATGTAGTGATATTAAGGCTAGGTACTGCCTCCTGAGTTGTCAGATATCACAGAAGTCACCTTATTTCAAAGTTTCTCTCTAGTAAGAGTCTTGCGGCTTAAGGAGTATCACTACAAAATGTTCTTGGCCTATCAGTATTTCTGCTTTACTGCGCTTTCCCTAATCAGCAGTTCCCTAGGAATCAGAGTTTTATTTGAGGAAAAGGGAAGAATAGTTGGAGAATGGGAGTTATTTTGAGAAGGGTAGATTTAGTTTGGCTTTGGACTTTGAAACACCAGATGGGTGCAGAAAAGGTGAATGTAGAGGTCAAAGGCATACTGGGCACTTAACAGCTGTGCTTGTGATTTCAATATTGCTGGAATAAATTTCTCATCTAGCCTTTGGTACTTATGTGGTCTTATGAATTGTTATTGCCTGAATTAATATTTCAAGATAAGTTGAAAGGCTTCCTACCTCAGCTTCTTTTGATTCAGACTGGTTTCATGGTTTTAAATATAGTTCAGTTTCTCCTTTAATGATAGGCAAAGTACAGTTATATGAGAAAGAAAAAACGTCAAAAGATGGGGATGAATTTTTATTGTCTTAATTTGGTTTAATATTCATAGCCATTAGAAGACAGAAAAGAGGAAGTAATGAAGTTATGTGACAACCACAGTAGGAAAAAAATTGGATTGTTACTCTAAAATGATCTTTTCTTCTTTATCACGAGCTCCTTTTTATCTCTATTTCTTATTAAGGTTATTTGTGTTTTATTTTGTTTTTGCTGTTGTGAATAGAATCTTTTTCATGCTTTTTTCTATTATTGGTAGCTACAAAAGATACTTTGTTTTTTGATATTTACTAAAATTACTAGCCTCTTTTTATTTCTAATAGTTTCTCAGTAGATTTTCTTGGATTTATTAAGTTTAAACTAATGACATTTGCCCCCCAAAATCCAAAAGAGATAATTGTGTGTCAGCTTTTTGTATAATTATATCTCTTATTCCTTTTTATTGCCATATTACATTAACGAGAACTTCTAGAACAAACTTAAATAGCAGTGGTCATATCAGGCATCTTGATAACCCTCAATGAAAAGATGAGAGATGAGCAAAGACTGAGGTTTGAGAATGAACCATGAAGAATCTGAGGAAGGAGACTTCCATGCAGAAAACTGTCAGTGCAAATGCCTTCAGGAGAGAGCATGTTCCAGGAATAATAAGGAGGGCAGTGTGGCTGGAGAGAAGGATTGAGGGGACTGGTAGAGAATTGGAGAGGGAATAGGAGTAAGGACTAATATTTCCTAATATCGAACCTTTTCTTATGTACTATATTAAGATTACTGTTTCATACTGAGTTAATCCATAGGCATTGCATCAGTGGTGAAGAAATGTATGTATAAAAAATAGATCTATTTTTTGAAAAGCCTTAATATCTGTTATTGGTACAGTATTAACTGGTGTTCTCTAGTGTTTAAATGTCTTTTATCATAGTCATAATAAACACATTCTGTCCCCAATTGCTATAATCTTACTAATGTAAAATCTCCTCCATAACTCTTTGTTTTCTTATGTAAAGTTGCCTGTTATACTATTGGGTAGATCATTTAATCAGCAAAATGTCAGTTTCTGAAGGCTGAGATTATTTTAAACAACAGCAACCACAATGAAAAGTAGCTTTTTACTTTGCTTACTTGGACCCAAACATTAATTTAAAATTCCTAGTCATTTTGGATTTTCAAGTTCTTCTGGTGGAAAAATACCTAAAGGCATGCGGGCAGCCAGAGCACACAAATCATGGCTATGCTTTGACTAGTTGACCAAAGAAGTCAGCTCAGTGGGAAAACTATACGCTCCATTGAAAAATCATTTAAATATCCCACAAGGAATAAAATAGGGAAAGGGAAAAAAATCTTTATTGCCGAGAGAAGTAGAATTAACCAGAGTGTTGACACTGCTATCAATTAAAAGTTTCCAAAAAAGTAATATTTTCTGACAAAGTGTGGCTATTTGATTCTAGAATGTAACTTTAAGGCTGCATGCAAATATTTTTTCTTCTTTTGTAGTCATAGGAAGGAAAGAGATTAGAAACAAATTTCTGTTGCTGCTACTAGGAACCTTCCACCCCTTTTTGTTGTTGTTCATAGCCCCTTAGGATTCCTGGGTAACCTAGGAAATAGTGTTGGTAGTTTAAAAAATATTTAAGTCATGATTTCACATCTCTTCTACTATCTTCCCAATTCTGACAAAAGAGAGGTGAGGGAGGTTCCTGATGATAATTTATTCTGTGAAATGACCTCATTTTGTGATCCTATCAATATGTTCAGGGTTATATTTGGAATATTTACCTAAATTTTACCTATCAGTAAGTCTGGTTTTCAAAAACAAGATTGTGAAAAGTAATTTAAGAAATTGCTTGTGATAACAGGAAAAAAAAAAAAAAAAAGAACAGTAAGAAACACATTCTGCAAATAGGTGACCATGAAAAGCTATTTTAGTTCTTCAGAGTTACTCACTTGTACTTGGTAGAGAGGAACTGGGCAGATCCAAAAGTTTTTATTCCTTTAATTCCATTAAAATAGGTAAGCTCTCTTTATAATATTAGAACCCATGTAGTTTTGCAGCCCTAACTTACTACTGTCCTCAATGTGTGAATCAGTGTATTGTAGCCATCTGTTCTTTTCTGACCTTCCTGACTTGAGCTTTCTCAAAGTCCTACCTCTTTCTCTATTTTGCTGTTTCCCCTACTTGCCAATTCCTTTTTGTATTATTATTATTATCATTATTATTTATCAGATCCTAAGTAAATTTAAGAGTCAGTGTCACTGTAATTTTTCTGTAGTTATTGACTCTGGGATTTTTTAAATGGATTGAAAGAGGAAAATGTGGAAGTAAAGGATAAAAGAGTATAAGACCGAAAGTGGGAATAGGGAAAAGAAGTAAACTAATGATAAAAACAAAGAAGCAGAACAGACCTGAATATGGATAATTCACATAGGATTTTAGGGGAATAGGAAAATTATAGATAAAACCTTCTTATAAATCATTTGAATAGCTATCTACTTTTCAATTTGGGGTATGTAGGTTTAATTTTTCAGGTTATAATAAAATATCCTAATTCAATGCCATTATGTCTAATATCTTTCTTTCATATTCTTTATTTTTCCTTTTAAAAAAGAAGATATCAGCTCACTAATAATTTAGGTCTTAGTAGGTGATAGCTTTAACAAAATACCTTAATTTCTGAATCCGTAATAAGGCTTTTCTGAACTTGAATAATAAATTTGCTTATGTCTTATTTTAAAATTTCTTAGTTTGATAAGTAATATTTTCTCTATTTTTAGGTTTCAACACAGGTCTTTTACAACATGTCAGTGGCAGAAATAGAATCAGAATTCAGGAATTTGGTTTCTGAAAGGCTTAATACATAAAATACCTTACTGGATTAAACCAAAATTTATCCAGCCCATTACTTGGTCTCAAAGCATTTTTGCAAGCATCTGTGGTTACTGTCAATAATAGCAACTGTGAAAGTTAGATATATATTACAAGCAGCCTTCTCTTACTAAGTTCTGATGGATCTAGTAGTCAATAGTTTTTTTTTTCTTAAACTTGTATACTTTCAGTTAATACTGTTTTTGGAGACCGAAGTCTCTTTTAGTTCCTGAAGCATCTCTTTATTACTTTGAAATAGTTCTAATATTTTCATGTTAACATCATGATTTAGAAGAAAGGAAGTCAGAAAGTCTCTATTTTAGTCCTGGATTTACCCCTAATGGATTATATATCCTTTGTTAGGGTGTTTAACTTTTCTACAACTCATTTTATTCTCATTTATATAATAAATACTAAATCGCTCTGAAATATTTTTTATTGTAAATAAACGTGATCGAATTCATGATCATACTCCTGTTTGCCATTGTTACCAATTTCTGTGTGATTTTATAGATCTGGACTTATGTTTTCTAATTTGTCTTCTCAGACAGTAAAATACTAACTGCTCTCTTCTTTTTTTTCCCCAATTTTAAAAGTACTTTCTGAATTCCACTCTCTGGTCATGTAAAGTTCATGTCTCTAATCTTTCTCTATTGACGTCTATCTAAAGATAGAGTTGGTGAGAATAGCACCGAGTACTGAAGGTGTGGGCAGATGTACTATGATAACATATAAATGTAAGATTATATTTTGTTTTATTTTGGCTACTTTTTTTTTTGAGCCATATCATTTCAAAATGGCCAACTCATTGCCTCTGGACTAGACTATTTCTAAGCTCTTTGCTATTCAGTATTTTCTGGGACAGAGATTTCACAGCCTGTCTCTCACCTTGAGGAAGTTCATAAAAACTAACATAAATCTTGCTTTCTACAATTTAAGTTGGATTTATTTCCTTTTTCTTTTCTCTGTGGAGATGAGAATATCCCCAGACTAGAAGTGATGCAGCATTATTTATAGCTTCTATATATTACAACTTCCTGACTTTCATTTCAATATTCATGGTCTCAAGAGATGCTATTCTTCATGGCCCAAATGAAATAACAGTTACATATCTAATACTAATGTTTATTATATCTTTTGCTAGTTAGAACCAAACGAGGTACTAAAATAAAAAATGAGTTCTCAAAACCCAGTTGAATATTATAGTAGATTTGTGTTTTATTTAGTGTAACTATAGTCATGGGATTGAGTTTTTGCTTATGGTTTGTAGATTTTATCTTATTATTTTATTAGTCAAGTTTTATATATGATTTATTCATCTTCCTTATAAATAATGAGAATAAAAACTCATTCTTTAAAACAAGCTATCTTAAAGCAGATTTCAATGTATGTAGTCAAAAACCTTTACTACTTAAGCTAAGGGATGTGCTAGATATTGGAAAGAAAAAAGAACAAATTTCTCTGCCCTTGAGGAGCCTATAGTCTTATTGGGGGATGAGATTATAAAACTTGTAATTATAAAGCACTTATAAAATGTTATAAGGTAGTGCATATAAAGTAAGGTGTTTAATGTGAATTATAATTTGTATTTTGTAGGTAATATAGAAAATGTTTTATATTATACAAATCTGTTCTGTTAACTCAGGTACCCTAAAATG